ATCCACCTAGCCTTCGCGGTCGGGCTAATGAGCCCTTGTGACGGACGTTGTCGAAAAACGTCACGTCACAATATATATATATATACATATAAAGTCAGACGACCCAGTACTCTTTTGTGTTTTCTCAATTCGAAATTTTATTTGTTGCGTTTCTAAAAGATCACATTTGATTGCACGCCAAGAATAGCAAAATCCTACTGAATAAAAAGTATCTTAGTGTATGTATATCTATGTTTAATCCTCGAAGAATACAATATCCCGGCTGTACAAACGTTTATTACCGAGGGTGAAATTATCTAGTCCTATTCCATCGTACATGTAAAATTATTCTCCAATATTTCGCGATAAAAAGATAGGAATATCAAATGGGAATTGAAACTTCTTCGTGAAGGAGAGATTACTCCGACAAATCGAAAGATGCGTATTTAATTAATCACGCAGAGTCTTCGAATCGGAATTTTTCGGAGTTACCTTCGAATTCCTGATCTCTTACTCGGATACGTAAGTATGCTAAATTATGTTGGAGCAGCGTTGAAAAGTAAAAATTATAGAGCAGCGATAAAAATGGTGATAAAAGGTAATTAAATCTATTTTTCTTTTTATTTAATAATGAAACTGTGATGCTATATAGTATATAAGTAGTTTTAGCTGTGATACGTTTTCAGAAATGAATAGCTAAATTATTTTGGGAAAGATAAGTAGTTTTTATAAATTGGCAAATAAAATCGATATGGTCTGTCTCTTTCACGGTTACTTTGTTTACATATATATAATTAATATTATCTTTATAATCTACAGATTGAAAATGTGTCATTTTGTCTCTGAAAAAAAAGACATTTAATAAAGTTAAATTATTCACACACATTATATAATTAAAACAAGGTAAACATATTTGTTTTTTAATAAAAATCATTTAATTATTATATGCTATACAAGAAAGCGTCGTATGAATTTGAAATAGAATCTTGTTAAAAAGACGGCGAATGTGGCGATCACGTAGCAAACGCGGGGGGGAGGGATTATATAGAAAATCCATCTAAATAATTAAGAAGTGTACTCGCCAGGATATAACATAAAAACGCTGTTTATACATATATACAATGGCAATTACATCTGATTGGTTTCTGCTTTACGCTCCAATGTGAATTCTCCCTTACTAATTGACAATCTTGGCATAGAGATGTCAATATAAAAAAAAAAAATATCGAATATGAATAAATATTCGTTTTTTGAATAATTTTTAAGTATTTATTCGGATATTACATTCATACTCTTTCTATTCGATATTTTGTATCGAATACAGAAAAAATATCGAATAGTCGATAATATCGAATATCGATATCCATCTCGATCTTGGCGATCTTGGCATACCCTCCTCTGCGTCCGCGGTGGAAAGTGCGTGTGTACTACGACTGAAGGCTATTATACGATAGCGGTTTGATATCATCCCTCTCTCGCCCCCTCCTTCCCTCGTGTCACGTCATTTTAACGCGTATGTATAGTGCAGTGTACCACTGTAGTGTATACCAGCGCTTCCCCCCGCGATTGACGTCTCGCTTGATAAGAGGATATCATCGCGTACAGGTTATGTACGAAAGTTGTCGGGGGCGATGTTTTGAGACGTCTTATCTCGCCGTGACAACCCGCTGACCCGTCCCGCGCGAGCCTCCGCTGCTCCTCCACCCGTCCCTGGACCCCTGGAGTCCTTGTTTACCCTCCCCGTGATCCGTGGTGCGCGGCCTTCCGAATTTCGCGTTCGCCCACCCCAGGCGATGTCAGGAAACGCCGAGCGCTAAATCGTGAGTCGTCGCATATTGTCGAGAGAGAGAGCAAGAGAGAGAGAAAGAGAGAGAGAGAGAAAGACAGGGAGAGACCCGTTAAGAATGGCCGACGAGGTAGTGGAGACACCACGGGGCCTCAATAACGAGGACGCAGAGTGCATCGTCGACGCCGAGATCGACGCCGGCGACGACGACGACTCCGACGGGGTCATAGTCCCGGAGCTTCAGGGTACACTATCCAAATGGACAAATTACATACACGGCTGGCAAACTAGGTTTATCGTACTCAAAGATGGTACTTTGTCTTATTACAAGTCCGAGCAGGACAGCGGATATGGGTGTCGTGGCTCGATTAGTCTGTACAAAGCTAATATCAAGGTGAGAGATCGTGCGTAGACTGGATATGTCTTGCCGAACATATTTGTACTTGTGATGTAAATGTAATGGTGCGAACATTGTCGAGACAACGAGTAGTTAACATTAAGTTATCTGTTTCAACAGGGACACCAGTTTGACGAATGTAGATTCGACGTGTCCGTAAACGATTGTTTGGTCTGGTATTTAAGGGCAAACAGTCCGGAGGAGAAGCAGCGATGGGTAGATGTTTTGAAGTCTTACAAGGTAATTATTTTAGTTTTATTTCTATTAAATTATATTAATAGATATAATTATAAAATTGAGCTATCGTAATGTAATATAATAGATTGAAATAAATTATATAATTGTATTTTGTAATTTGATAATGCATGCTAAAGTTTACTTCTAAATTGTACAGTTTTTTTAATTTTTATTATATGTATACATTTTTATGGGATTTCTTTGATGTTTGCAAATCAAAATTAAGTTTTCACCGAGTTTGAATTTGTGCGCGGTGATCCAGCAATTTTTGTTTGTCCCAAACAGTCCGAATCCGGCTATGGGAGCGAGAATAGTCTCAAACGACACGGTAGTGCCATATCGCTCGTATCGAATACACAGTCGACAACGAGCGCCGGTAGTCTCACTAAGCGCGGCATTAGAGGCCTGAAGGAGAAGTTGGCCGAAATTGAAACCTTTAGAGACATTCTGATCAAGCAGATCGATACACTGCAGAAGTATTTCGATAACTGCGCGGAAAATGCCAAGAATACTTCCAAGGAAGGTAATAACTTTTAACGGGAGCATCCCGTTTGACTGCGTTCGTTTGACTACAGCCACTCACAGCGGCTGGTTGGAGTTTTTTCATTGGACCAACCAGTCGGAAAATGTTTTATTAAATTAACGACATAGACAATCGGGTCTCACTCGCTTTCAATTTGTAATTCTTCATACTCCTTGTTCTTTAGAATAAATTTATAATGTAGATTTATGATATAAATTTATAACACGCAATTTTTTAATGCAAATATGTATGTAAGTGTAATAATTATTAAATGAAATATGTAGAGAAAAGTTTTAACATTAATTCTGTTGCAATAAATTTTTAGAAAAAAAAATTGAGACAATGTTCAATCCAGCCGAGCAATCGGTGGATTTCAAGGGGGAGGCGAT